CCAGGTGCCGGGGTTCTGTGGCTGTTCAAGCCTCAGAAAGGGAGCAATGCTCTGTGGCAGCTCCATCTCACAGTGAGGATTGCCAGTGACATCCATGACCAAATGTCCCCGCCAGCACGCAGAGCACAGCAGTAGAGCTCCCTTGTGGTAAAGGAAAATACAGGCATTGGAAGTGGGGGAGGCAGAGGGAAGGGGAGCTGTGTGTGCAGCGGAGGAGGAGTGGAACGAGGGAGAACTGAGCTCGGGGGTTATGAAAGCTGAAAGTCTCTGCAAATTGTGCAGCCCCTCCTTCATCTGACTGATAAACTGGAATGCAAAATTTTCTTTCTATTTTTTCCCAGTTTGGACTCTTTTCCTTTATTTTTAGATATATATTAAAGCCACGGAGGCTGTAGTTTGGCTTGCTACAGCTTTGAATTTGCACTCTGGGCATATAGCTACTCTCACACATAAGCAGGTTAGAAAACATCCTGTGAAAACATTGCTTGGGAAATAGCACCTTCCAGGTGGAAATGTCACCAAAGCAGCCCTACTCTGAGTGTCTGGGGACATTCATTCAAAACCACTCCTATCTCAGGTATTTTGTTGTAATTAAATCAGGTATTTTGTGCGTTCCAAGAGATGCTTAAAAAACAGTCCCAAGGCTTTTGAATGAATTAATGCTATTTTCTCTTTTTGTGAAAGAGCTCCATGTTTTAAGGCAAAAAGGTTTTATAATTCTCTCTTCTATTACAGGGGAATATTCACACAAAATAAGAATTCACGCTTTTAGAGCCAAATGATTTATCTTTACAATTCCTGTGGGAGGTGAATTTCTTCATCCAAACTCAGAGCCTGAAATCACATAAAAATTTCCCAAGGCAGGGGCAGGGTACACAGAAGATGATGCCTCACGTGCACACTTTGCTTACAGAAGAGGAAAACCACTGATTGCTGAGAGTGCCCTTTGCCTGTCCAGCTGCGTATAACACATCCCTAACAGAGGACACCTTGGCAGAAGGAAGGGACAGATGTGGAAGGAGCGGAAAATGCCTCAGCTCCTTCAGCACTTGGGGCAGAGAGCATCTTTTCCCCACCATAGCCCACATCTGGATGCACACTCACCTCCTCGCCCAGGGTACAAACTGCACTGCCTGATTCGCAGCCACCTGTACCAGCACCGACTCAGCAGCATCTCTCTTGCTGGTGGCTTTTTATATTTCAAAAAAACAGGAGTTATGTAATATAGCATCTTCTCTTTGAACCACTTAAAAAGAGAGGGGGAAAAAAAAAGGGGTGGGGGGGGGAAAGTTCTTGCTGTAAAAGTGTTTTGATAGTGGGAAAATTTTTTGAAAGGGCTCAGATTGAAAGAATTCACTTCGTATTAACAAATGGTCTCTGTGGTGCAGCATTAGCATGACTGTGATCCTGCTTCAACCTCATGCTCCTGGAGATGGGGAAAAGCAAGATGCTCACCTCGAGGTGGTGCTTCCTGTCCCTGTGCTGCGGGTGGGTGGGAGCAGGGCCTGGGGGATGAGCACCCGGGAGCGGATGGGAGACTGGAGCATGGGCTTCCACCTCAGTCTTCCCAGGAATATGCAGTTTTGATGCCCTCAGCCCAGAGCATCTAGTCCTGGTGCATCCTGCACAGCCCATCGCATGCTGTGAAGGGATGACCAGCATGGAACCAAAGGAAGAGTTGGCTCACTCTATGCACAAACCTCCCCCAAATCCTGCTCAAAGCAAGCACGGGGACAAGCCAAGCTGTTCCATGTGTTTGTGTAGGTCTCTAACCTTTCATTTTCCCAAGTAGCCTCCCATATAAAAGTCCTTCATCAACAACGTGTGTAATAGTTACTGCATTTGAATAGCAAATCCACCCCCAACATCCTTTGTGCAGCACAGGGCAGGGTGTGCAGTTCTGATCTGCAGCCATCCAGCCTCCCTGTGGGATTGCCATGGGGCTGGGCTGGATGCTCGGTGGCAGAGCTGATCTGCTGTTTTAAGCAGGCAGTGCAGAGGTAAATCAGCCCTAAAGCCTGTACCTGAAGGTCTGCAGTGAAGCAAGCATGGCTCAAGCAATAAGGCAATAGGAATGGGTTTTATTTTTGTAGGATGGGGCAAACTGCACAGTATAAGAGCCAGAACAACAAGTTCTATGGATGGATGAGGGTTCTGTCCCAGCCTTTGTAACAGCAGCACCATGGGACTGGAGCAGCCACTGCTCTGCCCTCAGCCACCCACTAACACTTCCCTGCACTGGGTCTGGTACTCCCAAACCAGCAGAGCTCACACACTGCCTGTACTGCTCCCATTGCCAACCTCCTCGTTCCTGCCTGGAATGAGCATCATCAAATGTCGGCTTGCCTGACTCATTCCTGCCTGGAGAGGATGATTGAGTAGCTGAGCTCACTTTCTACCTCTCAGGCATGTGTTTGAGTTCCTGTGAGTCACACACTATAGTCTTGTTCTCCTTTGACTTTGGGCTGCTTCTTAATTTCTCTCCATGATACAGTAAAGATGCACTGTCCCTGACCTATTTTTGAAAACAGAGTTAATTTTTTGTCTCAGTCCACTTCTTTCTGAAAGCCTTCCCTGCAGGTTGCCATTCTCCATGTCTTAAGCACACAGTTAACCCCATCATACATCTATATATGTGAGAGGATATTTATTATGCACCATTCCGCCCTTCTCTCATATTATGCCTTCCAGGACTAAGCAGACATCACTGCAAATATCAGGCTTTTCAGGAGACAAATTGCTGCTTTTTTTTTTCTTTTTGGAGTACACTTTCCAGCAGGCATCCTGTTCAGCTTCTGAAGCTCTTGGTCCCATCAGAAGACAGCCATCTATCAGACATGCCTGCTTCATCGGCTGTCAGCATGAAGGAAAGCCTTGAGAAGAGAGTATAGTGGAAACAAATCACCCTGCGGTCCCACCTGAGCAGACAGTGCTAAATACACCTCTGATCAGAGATGTTGGACCACTCAGAATGAAATATTCCCTCTGTGTTATCCCAGCATGCAGCCCCCAGCATGGATCACAGCCCGCCTGAAGGCAGCAGCGTGTTGCAGACAACGGGATTCCAGATAGGGAATTTGTTTTATGGCTTGTTCTCAACCACAAGCTGCTTGCCTTTTCTTTAGATGTTTACCATAGTGTACATATGCTAAGATTTGTATTTCAAATCTGAAAACAGCCATTTCTGAAGGAAATAAACAAACAACGAGCAGCTGACTGGAAGAGAATATGGGTTGGGTTGTTTTGCTTTCAAAAAATACTGAAGAGTTACATACATTGCTGTTTGGAAAGTGAAAAATAATTAAAACAAAAGTGAAAGATGCACATAACACCTGGTTGGGAAAGCTTAAGGAATTTGGGCTTGCCACAGCACAAACTATGTATGTCACACTGTCTACACAGCCGTGCCCATACAAACCCTTTGTGGTAAGTGGGAACAAGCACAGCCCTTTGTTTGTCCTTCAGTGGGAAAGGTCCCATTGAAAGAGACCACTGGCATTTGCTATGCTCTCCCCGATGTTTTCTCTGAGCATCCCCCAGGCCAGAGCAGAGGCAAAAGAGTTGGGGAGAAAGGGAACTGCATGCAGCTAGCAGAGCCCTGAGCCAAGCTGGCACCTTCTCTTCATTTGCACCCACATGCTGTACAGAGCTGCTGCAGGGATAAGAGAGAAAAAAGTCAGATGATGGGTAACACAATATGGAAGGGAAGATAACACTGCCTGTGGGGGTGGCTTGGCAATGGAGCAGCTCTCTGCAGATCTTCCCTCCTTTAGAAAAATAGGAGAAAAGTTAAAGAAATGAAGTAGCAAGCTGGCATTAATGGGCTCCAGCAAGAAGTTCCGTTTTGCAGGTTCTTCATGCTCATGCCTGTATTTAAATATCCTTAATTCCCAATGATTGTTCCAACATCAGGCACTGGTTGTAAGTGCAGTGCTATAAAACCAGTGGAGCCATGACAATCGATGTGTAGTCAGTGTGACTGTGCAAAAACATTGGTGAAAAGCAAACATGCCGCATGCAGTAATAAATTTTGCTTTTGGAACAAACACTTCAAGGGGGTACTCGGTTTCTATGTTCATTTCTTCCTTCACTGGAGCCTGACATGAAACTGGAATTATTTCCTCTCATTTACAGAGCAATCTGTCTGAACACAATAAACGCACATCAGCTTTGTTATTATCTAACAGAGAAAACAGTGGTTAACTGGCTGCAGTGCAGGGAAGGCTGACACAGTGCCTTTACTGTGTCTGCTCCATGGGCCGCAGGCACTGCCCAGCATGAGTCCATTACCAGGGATTTCTCAGATGCTAAGAAGGTTAAATGGCTGAAGGACTTATCCAAAAGTGATTGCTTTTATGATCCCAGCTCTCTCGTGTTGCAGAAACATTATCTTATTACCCTCCAAATCACTGATGAAGCTTTTTTTAATTGTGATTTGACTCCCCTGCGAGGTACCACGCTCACCATCTGGTGCCTGCTGGGTGTCTCCAGTGCCCGTAACCCCACTGGGCCAACATAGCAGGACAGTGAGGGGCCAGCAACCCAGGGCTGTATCTGCTGAGCTGGGAGGAGGGAGAAGTGAATACCTCCCTCCTTCCCCCAGGCTTCTCATCACCAAGACCTCCTGCAGCTGTTGCAGCCTCAATTTGCTGCCCACAGGTTGGGATTGAATTTGGTCCTTCACACATCTCATGGGAAATGCTTCTTTTGATGAAGCATGAGGACACGGATGCCCCATCTCTGGTGGCATTTGAGGACAGGTTGGATGGAGCCCTGGGCAGCCTGATCTGGTGTATGATTTAGTTGTTAGGAACCCTGCCCATGGCACAGAGCTTGGAATAAGGTGACCTTTGAGATCCCTTCCAACCCAAGACATTCTATGATTCTATGACATCTATACATAAACAAACATATCCTAGTGCTCCATGCATGAGCAGGCTGGAGCTTTGCATATTCTAACTCATAGAAATATTCCCATTGCACGGCAAGGAGATGGGTGAATAGCAGTAAGAAATATTGTACTCATTGAAAATGAGTGAGGGAATGTGATTTGGAGGAACACAAAGGCTCATCTTGTTCTCTTCTTCCTTTTCTTTCTCACTGTGTGAGACACCAGTTTCTACATTAGCCTGGCTCCCTTCCTTTCCCTTTGTTTCCAAGCTGCCCATTATGGTCTGCCTTTTGGGTGGTCCTGTGTGGAGCCAGGAGTTGGACTCAACAACCCTTACAAATCCATTCCAACTCAGATATTCTATGATAAGGTCCAGGGGTAAATCAGCAGACCCCATTAGCCATTAGTCCAGGCAGAGAGGAGCTGGTGGCTGTGGTTGTCAGTGGTAGGCCAGGAAAGCAGGCTTGGAGCCAGGCAGGATGGGAGAAGATGGGTGGACAAAACACACTGGTAACACCCAACCCTGGCAGGCTGTGGAGTGCTGAGGACTTGAGTATTCAGCAATTTTGTTAGGTTTTGTGGCCATATCTTTGTGCTCCTTACAAGGAGCTGCGAGGATTCCTTATCACAACCAATGGCAGCCAGGATCCGGCCAGCGCAGCTCCAAAGCACAGCAACTTTGGAGTTGCTCCCTAAAAAAAGCCATAAATTTTCATGTGGGAAAAGCAACTTTCTGTTTCTCGTGTTGTCTCACGCTGAGCTGATTTCACTGTTCTGACTGACACTTTAAAAGTTTGCAGATTTGCCTGAGGCACGTTTTCAGCATAGAAAAACCTCTATCAAAATGGTTGAGGTTAGCCAAAGAGATAAGCAACTGGAAAAAAAAGAAAAAAAAGGAAAAAAAAAGGGTTTTCTAAGGAAAACATCAAACTTAAGGTAGTCTGGAATTTCATCAGAATAGCATTGTGCTAATATCAGCTGGGGAACCATGCATGCAGAAGTTTGTGATCTCATATACGCCAGGATAAAACTAATGCACATCCCAGGGAATAAATTATACTACTGTGGATTTATTCAGCTGTAATAGATCAACATTTGTCCCTGAGCGACTCCAAATTTTCTTTCCTCTGTGCACAGCCTCTTCCCTGCTAATGCATCCCCACAGGAGGGAACACTTCTGTAAGCAGGAAATGGGGAAGCAACCCATGCCTTTTGCTCAATGGCAGAATTTCAAGCGCTTAATGTGTACAATTGCTCCATGACAAGGCTTCATGTCTCAGATGAATGCAGATATGTAATCATGGCCCCATATGGAAAGAAGTGTTAAACTAGAATTCAAGATCTGGAACAAAAACTCCTTGTGGCTCAAGGGGATTCATTCCTCTGTATTTATCTCCTGAAAAAGCTTTGTTGTGTTATTCCTGAAAGGGATCAGTTGTCCATACTCTGCAAGCACTCACTACCTCACATGGCAATGGAAAGCAAGGGGTACAACAACACAGATGGGCATATAATTACTTGGATTTTAATTCATTGCCATCAGCAGTGTCCCACCAGGAGCCAGGGATAGCGGCAAGATAGGACCTACTGTCCCAACCACTTTGCTGTTCCCTTTGCTCATGCAAGCCCCTCAACACCTCTGGTCCCAGGTCGCATTTCAAATGGAGAAGCAAAGCCAAGTGCAATGGTTTAATGCTCCTAATCCTTCTGCATGAGGGCTGGACACAGGTCAGGCCCAAGAAAGATTCATTCTGAAGGATAGGAAGGGAAGAATTGCTCTCCCATCTGGAGCACAGTGGGTATTTATGCAGGAATATCACCTTTAATCTTTTCTTTCTCAAATGATTGTGATTATTAGCCTTCATAGGACGACTGCAAAGAATCCCATATATCCAAGATTCGAATACGGTTCTCCTCACCCTGCGATTCCCATGGTGGTGGAATTTGGGTGTAGTTTACTGTATTAAGTCTATTCTACCAAACTCAGAACTCAAATTCTCAAAGCCTGCACAGTTATTCACAGTCACAGCTCTCTTCTACAATCAGAGCAGTCCACGGGATGGTCAGGATGAGAGAAAAAGCTGATCTTCATTTCTGCCAAATTGTCTTTAGCTCCACCTGAATGCTCCCATCCGTGTCTCAACACACAACTTGTCCTGCAGTGGTAAACAGTGGTTTAGATTAGAAAATTATTCTTCAGTTCCATACTTAATTACATAATTACTGCTTGTCAGCTCAGATCTAAGAAAAGTCAGAGACTGGCCAATTAAAAGGAATAATTTTTTGTTCTAACAAAAAATACTGTCGTATTTTATTACGTCCTCCTTGAAAGCAAATGTTTTACTGCAAAGCTCTGACTGCAGTTATCTATCACATGGGAGTCCAATGGTAAGGAACAGCACTTACAGCATTAAAAATGCAATCTCTGTGTGTCAAACCCAAAAAGTATGCCTCCTGGCAGCCTCCATGGCCTCATTTTGGCTGCAGAAGGAATAAAATCAGAGCTTGCAGCGATATTCCAGTATCAGCTCCTGCTATAGCTCCTGTTATCCAGGGAGACAATGCCAGGAAGAAACCTGGCATTTAAGTTTGCCTTAGCACTGTGAATATTCAGGTCTATCCAGAGCAGACCATACATCATGAGACCCATTGACTTGTTTCTTTTTCCTGCACAGCACTTCCATGCACTGCATACACAAGCCAGACAGCTTGTGTATGCAGACAAGGCAGACAGCAAGTGTGGCTCATACCCACCTCAGATAACTTCAGCACTGAGAAATGCTCTGCAGCATCACACATTGTTCTCTTACCTTCCTTAAGGAGTAAAGGTATAAGTGTTATTTTGATCAACTTAGCTGCTGAAACAATCAGTCTGCTTAGTGTACTGGAGTTATGGATCAATCTATTTGAAGAAGCAGCATAGCAAGAGGATGCCAAATTTATAGAATCATAGAACAGGTTGAGCTGAAAGGACCTTTAATGGTTATCTGATGCAACTCACCTGCAATGAACAGGGACACCTACAGTTCGATCAGGTGCTGAGAGCCTCATCCAGCCTGGTTATTGCCACCTGAGGAGGGAAAGCACGATAGACTCAAACTAAAGGAGCCCTTTGCAAGAAATGAGGCCCAAAGAAAGGAAACCCTCACCTCAGAGCCCAGAAATAGCTTCTCCAGAATGACAGAAACCCTACCAGCTGGGGGAAGAGAGAAACTTCTCCTCAGCCATCCCAAGCCAGCCCTTGGCTGCTGCCAGCCCCCAGGGTTTCCCTGGTGATCTCTTCCTGTGTTTAATTCTGAGCACAGCCAGCCAATGGGGGTGGGAAGGAATCACCAGTCATTTTGCAAAAGAAAGTGACTGAAATATTCAACGCTCCATTGATTGCTGCCTGTGGCATGCAGAGCGTTCCCCTTGTTGTCCCGCTGCAAAGCAGCAGCAATGGGGCTCTGCAGGGCCTCTTATCCACCCCTACACCACTCCTGTCCTGGGCTACACCCTGCAGGAGGGTGGGAATCCGGCCCCAATGGCATTTCTCTCCCCAGATGGCAAGCTTGATAACTACTGTTTATGTTCTATTTGCTGAAGCATGACTGCACCGGGACAGGTGGGGTGGAGACAAGGAATGGAGCTGCTAGGGGGGTGAAAAGTGTTTCTTATTTCAGATCAAATCACATCCTACAGTTTATCCCAATCTGGAAGGGAAAGTGAGGCAGAATAGACAACTTGTATAGAGTGCTGTGGAAGGAGGAAGAAGGAATTTGCTGAAAAGCTGCAGGAGGCTCCAGCAGGCAGGAAGGAAAGCACTGCAGCCTGGATACAGAAAGCTGCTCTTCTGAAAGGTCAGTGAAAAACCCAGGTTTAAATTGCTGAAGTTTCAAGGTTTTTGGGAGCACATCTGCGTCTGCATCCCGCTGTTTGCAGGGAGGTGCTTTTACCACTGCTATATGCTTCTCAGGCTGCCTTTTGCTACATTACATCCCCTCAAGCAAGAAATAGGGATGAAAGTTTTTGCGTGACATTTTTCTCAGCAGAATTCATCCTCTTATTGTGGAGAACTTTTTTACATGAGCAAAATCATAGAATCACAGAAGGCTTTGTGTTGGAAAGAACCTCACAGCCCCCTAACCCCAATCAAAGCCCTGGGCTAGTTGCCCCCCACCAGATCAGGCTGCCCAGGGCCCATTCAGCCTGGCGCAATACATTAATTTAGAATACCTTTCACTGAGCAGCAGTTTCAGAGCCCAAAAGCGGTTTCATTTGTGTGGGGTGAGATCACTTTTAATCCAGCGGGTTTAAAGGGAAATTGCTGACTTGACGGATACAAGAAATCTGATGGAAACCTGGGACACCCCACATAATGTGCTTTCATCTTTTGAGAGTTACGGGATCATGTTTGGAACAGAACAGCTATGGAATGGCACTGTTCTTATTCTTCAAGTTACAGTTGCTGTGTGGCCACATAAGTGACATCACCGAGAACATGTTGTACTGTCATTATGCTAAAAACCAAAGTATTACTGGAAAGAGCTGCCTGGCGAGATTTGAAGCGGTTGTTTGAGATTGCAATCAGATTTGGGTGCTTCTGCAAATCATTCATTTGAAATAATCCAGGACCGTCTCCCAGTAACTATGTTATTAAAGCTGTTCATCAGCAAAGGCATTTACTCTCCCATCTCCTATCTTTTGTACAGTTTGTGAAGTCAGAGACCCAAATTAGCATAACACACTTGCCAAGGGATGGGAGAAATGTATTCAGATTTAATCTAGTGATTCTGGCTCACTCATACTAACAGCTCCTTCACCAAGGCCGTGGGGTTAACCATTAACCTCTTCTATCTACAAACAGAAAAATACCTTCAGTCACGAGGAAATGGTGCAGAAGGGAAGGTTACACCGGTTCCAAGCAGCAGGTTACAGCTGTGGGGCAGTTAACGAGGGTTAGGGCACACATAAAAAGGGTGGCAGCAGGTTGGTCCTTCTTGCTGGTCCTGGCCCTGATCGCCGACTCTGCAGCAGGTAGGAGGCACTGCTGGGTGCAGCAAGGGGAGTCCTGGGGGAGCGTGTGGGGATGGACTTTCTCCTAGCAAAGCATTACAGAGCCAAAGGAGGGTGGCAGGAGGGCTCTGGCAGGAGTGTGAGGAAAGGAGGTGACAGGTAAAGGGACCTGAAAAGGAGCAGGAAAAGAGGGGTATGATGATAAATGAAGATCCAAACGTATTATTGGTAGTGTAAAATGTATGCAGGAGAAAGGAGTTGGAAGCAAATATTGTTCAGATAGAGGGACAGAAAGCAATAATGCAGAAGAGTCCATCCTACCTGGCCCATAGTACTGAGCGGAACAAGAATGTTCCCCACAGATCTGTCCTCCTCTTCCTTCACAGGCAGGGAGGTGCTGGGATGGCCCCTGCTTAAATCACAGAACATATATCAGCCCTGAACCAGCTGGAACGAAGCCAGCATCTTGCTTTACATGCTCTTCTTAAATCATGTTTCTGCACCAGGGAGGGGCACAACTGCAGCCCCTGCACCCACTCCAATCCCAGCTGCATCATGTTGGTAATGCAGAAGCAACCACAGTTTTTTTCATGTAGGTTTGGTTTTGTTTTCTTCATTTCAAAATGAACCTGCTGACAAAGCTGAAAGCAAAGTGCCAGGCTGCTGTTAACAAATTGATGCTTCTGTCCTTTGGCTGAGCCCTTCCAGCACGTCACTCCTAAAACAACTCATTCTTGATCCAGAACACCGGTGGTGGGATTCTATCAAGTGGCTCAAAAAGAAAAAATAATTCAAAAAGCAACAATAAGAGTTATAAACAGAGTCCCCCAGTCTATTAAACCAAGGCAAATTGACCAAAGTAAGAGTCACCAATAAATCTACCATTGCACATTTCACCTGGTCACATTCAAGCAGGACGTCGTTGTTTCAGACCCCAGCTGAGAGAAGGACTGGCAGCTCCCACAGCACTGAGGACTTTCTCCTGCTTCTAATAAGAATTCCCATCTGCCTCCCTGGTGTGATCCCAAATGAGGGCAAACAGAAAAGCAGAAGCCATCCCCGCCTTTAACATGATCGATACAACTGCATGTATTTAACAAATGCCATGTAGATTGCTTTATTTGACCCTCTCTTCACAAAATAATTTTATTATATGTATGAAAGCAGCTTACAGGCAATCAAGTTATGAAAACATTCACGATACATAAATACACAGACCTGATGCAGGATGTATATAGTTCATTAGACTTTGAGATTTTTTCCTCTCAGTTCTCTTTTCCTGACAACATTTTTGTTTTGTGTTTTGTTTTTTTTTTTTTTTAATATATATATTATGAAAAGTTTCTCCAAAGGGTATCTGTGCCATTCAGAAAGCAGAGCTCTGTCCTGGAGTGCTGCTGTATGTTGACTCCCAGTGTTCCTGTTGCTAACGTTCACTGCTCACTTGGGGCATTACAGAGGGAAAGCAGCAGGGAAGGGCCACGGCAGTTTTTGAATTAAACACAGGCATCTTTGTTTTTGAGCTCACGGGGCGTTTTTGAGGTGGGGGCTGCAGTTCCGTCCATAGTTAGAAAAGTCTTAATTCAAATCAGTAATGAGGCACTATTCCTTATTTGAAGGGACTACTGATGTGGGAATTACTAAAATGCAACATCCTCCTGGCCTCCAAAGTAAAGCACTGCATACCCTCTTGAACTCAGACTGAGAGCAGACAGCATGATCCCAGTGGTGCTGCCAGAAATAATACAGATGACAACGAGGTTTGGCATGTTTACTACCATGAAACCAATTGTGTTTGTTTGGAAAAGATATCCAAGACTTGGAATAAGAAAAGTCTGAGAAAGCTGTTTATCTTACATTAATACAAAACGTTATATACTATGAATTGTTACCTAAGTAGCTTTTCTTCTCAAATTGGATTCTCCTTAAGGTTGTAGCCATACTTAAGGTCTGTACAGATCCACAAACTTGACATTCTAGCAAAGTCTCTGTAACATGAAACTTTTTTAAAAATAAATAGCAGCAATTTCTTGTTATTTGTAAAAGGGAAGAGAATTCACAACTCAGTCAACGCTGATCCTATCTTTTGAAAGAAATCCCACTTGAAAACCAAAGCCTGTAAGGAAACGAGCTCCATTCCACATCAGTTCTGTTGATTCCTTGGTCTCTCGCTAAGCTTCTCAGCCTTCTTCCATCCCTCACAGCTCTCGAGGCCATCGGGGCTTTCACAAAGTGCTGACTGGTTGTCTGGCCACAACGCAGTAATGACACTCCAAAAATATCCCATCATTTAGACATCTTAAATAACATAAATAAAGCTAGATCTGTAATAACATATGAAAAATATCAATTTAAAACAATAAATAAATAAAACCAGTATCAACATGTTAACTCCCAAAGCTTTAAAAATAACCATTCTCACTATAAGGCTCAATTATTTTTTCAGAAATAATTTTAAGAAGGCCTCTACCTCCCTTTACAATCCCTCAGCCTTTAATTAGGACCTGTTAACACCCACTATCACAAGACACAGCAATCCTTTATATTCTAGTAAACATGAATCTTTAAATACTTAACATTTATCTTCTGCCTCACTTCAAGCAAGAAATTGGCCTCTCTAGGTGCAGAGGAGAAGCAGTATTATTTTATCACTGCACTGTATCCAAACCTGTGTATATTCCTCAGTACGAACAGCACGGTTTAACATCCATCTTTCTAACCAATTTTCAGTACCTTGTTGCTGTTTAGTGTTTTAAATATTAAATTTAATGCCAGGAAAATTCATTCAGGGCTTTATGTAGATGTGTACTTCTCCCTAGAGCTTAGTTTCATACAAAAAACCGTATCTTTTTTTTTTGTTGTTAAAGATTATCACATTGTACACTATTATGTTTTGCTGGGTACACCTTACTGTTCAGGTTTTATGCTGCCCATTTTGTGTAATGGGATTGATCTTTTCCAAAGAAACATCAGCTTCATAATCCAAAATACCCGACAGTGCTGGAGACATTTTGTCCAAGGTCTTAGATAGTTCACCTTCTTCTTCCTTTTTTAGAGGTTCTTCTTCCGGACAGATGATTGCATGTGGGATCAGATAAACCAGATTCGACTCTTTGGGGCTGGAGCCTTTGGGCTCATGTTGGCTTGAGAAAACAACTGCTCCGTTGTTGTTAATGCTAACAGTCTCTATAGCATTGCCGGACATCGGGCAGAGCCTGTAGCATCCTAGCAGGGTGGAAAATGCCTTGCGGAAATCAGCGTTGAAGGCATAAATGATGGGGTTTAGGGAAGAATTAGCCCATCCAAACCAAATAAAAACGTCGAAGGTGGTGGAGTTAATGCAGAAAGCTTCTGCTCCCTTGGACGGTTGGGTGGGCTCACAGAAGGGAATCATGCAGTTCAGCACGAAAAATGGCAACCAGCAGCACACAAACACCCCCATGATCACCGACAAAGTCTTTAGAACCTTTGTTTCCCTCTTGAAGGACATTTTGAAGTTGCTCTCAGGTTGCTGACAGTCCATGCTGCTCCTGTTGCCACTTGTGTTCTGGCAGTTCTTGGCATGCACTGCTGCTCTCTCCAAAGCTGAAATTCGTCGTATTTGCTTCTGAGCAATCCGGTATATCCTTGTGTAGGTTACTATCATGATGGCCACAGGTATATAGAAGCTAATTAGAGAAGAGGAGATGGCATACATCCTGTTTAGGCTAGAATCACAGTTGTCCATGCTTATACCTTCTAAACTGGCATTCAGGTCCAAAAAGCTCGTGGTTGTAGCCTTGTGCCAGTTGAGCTGCACAGGGATGAAGGAAATCAACACAGACAAAGTCCACGCCACACTGATCATGATGAAGGCTGCCTTGGGGGTCATTTTCCTCTCATACCTGAATGGGCTGGAGATGGCCCAGTATCTGTCCACACTAATGACACAGAGATTTAAGATGGAGGCTGTTGAGCACATAATATCAAAGGCCACCCAGATGTTGCAAAATGAACCAAAAGGCCAGAAACCAGCGATCTCTGACACAGCTTTCCAAGGCATGACCAAAACCGCCACCAAGAGGTCTGACACGGCCAAGGAGATGACAAAGAAGTTGGTCACTTTGGACCTGAGGTGGCGAAACCTAATGACAGCTGCGCAGACCAGCGTGTTTCCCAGCAGCGTGGAGAGGATCAGCAACGAGAGGAAGCAGCCCGTGAGGATCCGAAAGGAAGAGTCCCTTTCCACAAGCAACCCTTCCCCATCCATAGTGGTGTCGTTCCAAGTCATAGTTTCTCCTGAGGGAAAATCACATCATGATTTTCATGACGACATCAGCTCCTTTCCTTACAGATAGCAGACACGAGATGTCCGAACAGACCAAAGGCTCTTGGTTATGGTCCCCTCAAGCCCAGATGGACTTCATCCACTCTGAATCTCCCTGAACGACATTGAAAGCTCTACAAGCAGGAACTGAAAATGCACAAATACAGTCACCTCCACAGAGGGGTTTTTAAGCAATCCCTTCAAGAACACAGTGCACCACCCCAGCATGAAGCAGCTTAATTCAGACAGCTCACCTGCAAATGTTCTGCTGCTGTCCTCTGCGAATATACCCCACAGACAGGAAAGCAATCACTTTTTCATGCTTGCATATTCCCACTTAAATAGACTATTGATCGAGTGTTTCCAGCGTCCATTGCACTAGCCCTTCATATTTACTGATGCGTGCTGTATGAGGTGCTTTTCCTCTGCTTTGGTTCCCTAAATGTCTCACTGATTAAACACCCCATCTTTCCTCCTCAGCACACTCCTTTACAAAATCCACCAGTTCTCTGCTTCTGGGCAGCATCAGCGAGCAATTCTTCACTTTGTTTCAAGTTTTACACTTCCAGAGACAAAGGAAATAAGCATACAGCAGGTGTGTTTTAAAGATTTTCAGTAAGAAGTAGCTCAGATTATTTAGTTTTATTGAAACGAGAAATTCTGGCTCCTACCTTTCAGCTTCGTTTCTGTTTGCTCTGGGATGCAGGGCCGCCTCTTCTCCTCATTTAGGTTTGGAATTGCATAGCAAATCTTACAAACAAACCCAGCATTGCATCAGGTGCAGGCATGTGTTGTTCCCTGAAAGCGTCAATCGGCAAAGGATGAGCTGCAAAAGTTTAGTCCCCAGGAGTTAGTCCTGCAGCCAGCAGTGGAGCAGCGTTGGTGGGCAGTGTGTGACAGACCTCATCAGTGTGTGCCCAGCTACCTCCATCCCACGGACCCCATAGATTGCTCTGCAAACTTTGTTGGCTGGCTCGGTCCCGGTGGCGCTTTGTACATCCCATCAGAAGGAATCATCCCAGGCAAAAGGCACAGTATTCCCAGCACCAGCAAGAGCCAAGTCGCAGTTGTTTCTTTCTTTCTTCTGTCGTTCTCTGAAGGGTGAAAAAAGGGAGAGAGGAGGAGGAAGGACCTGAGTGAGCTCTCCTCTGCACGAAGGCGGTGGTGCCAAGAGTGCTTCCTCTTCCAGCAGGGTCGAGTGGCTTTAGTGCTTCTCTGCCAGGTTACAGCTCTCCATGGCAGCACGGGATAATCTCACCTCCTCCTCAGAGGGGCTGCGCTCCGGCCGTCGGAGCAGCCGGCTCCAGCATGCTTTTCCCTTTAATAACAATGCAGGCGGAGCAGCTTTTCACGCTCTCCCGGGCCACGCATCTCCGGTGCCGGGGGCTTTTCCTCCGTTCGCCCGGGAGGGCGGCCCCGGCGCCACAGACTTCCTCCTGCCGGGGGCAGGGCTCGGCAGCATCGCCCCTGAGAGAGCTCTGTCCGTCCGGCGTCTCCTTCCTAAAGGATTAAGACAAGAGGAAGACAGGGTGAAGGCACGCAGAGGGCACAGAGCAGCCCCCCTTCTCCTGCTTTCACATCGTCGCTCGGACGCAGCTTTCCTTGGGCCGCTTCTCCCCGATTTTTCCGCTTTCTCGGGGAATAAGCAGGACGCTGAGCAAAGCCGGGCTGCAGGCGTTGAGCGCACACGGGATCACTTTGCCCCGCCGAGCTGCGGGACGCTGCGCGATGCCTCGGCGCTGCGAGCCAGCCGAGCCCCATTCATTGACGAGTAAAGTAAGTACCGGCACCCAACTTATGGCTGGGCGATGCTCGCAGCGGTGCAGACGGCGGGCTGCAGGCCGAGGCACCCCAGACGAGCACCGATAGCCCGGGGAGCACCGACAGCCCGGGGCGTACTCGGCACCCGGCAAAGCAGGGTACTCACCGGAGCGGGATGCTCGGGTCGGCCCGGGGTGACGGCGATCGGCAGCAGGGGCAGCGCTCCGCTCCGCTCCCCTTCGCTCCGCTCCCCCCCCGCTCGGCTCCGCGCCACCTCCCCGCCGCCCCGCGCCCCCGCGGCTCCCGGCGCAGCCGCGGCCACTGGGCTCCCTCTCCTGGGCGGCCGCGGCCCCGCGCCCCCCCGTCGGAGCGGAGCGCACGGCAGCCCCAGGGGCGCGGGGCAGGGATGCTCCTGTTGTCCCGCCCCGCCGCTTCCCCCGGACGGCTCGGCCGGTTCGGCGGGGAGAGGACCGGGAGGAACCTCAGGGAGCGGCTCCGAGAAACGGGTCCTTGAGATCACCGCTGAAGAGGTTCAGAGAAAATCCACGAGCAAACTTCAAACCTGGATCTCTGTAGCAGACGGAGGGCATCGCCGTCCCTACATATCGCCTCAAGGGCGGTTTCCCCAGGCCGTTCCGGTGCCTGAGGAGCCGGGTCCTGACCGATGTCCCAGAGCAGGAGTGGGGACAGCAGAGCCGCGGCTCTGGAGCTGCCGACAACCCCGGAGCTGCACCTCCTGACGGCAGATGTCAGCTCTGGGCAGATCCCCTTCTGTCTGCGAGAGAAAACTCCTCGCAGAGCAGTTCACCTGCCCGCAAAAATGTGTCGTTTCAGATCGTGTTTTCTTCTTTACAAACATCACTCCGGTTCAGCAGTAAGGACTGAAAAGCAGAGCGGTTACATCTCGAGCCCTTTCGTTCTACAGAAGGGATTTTTCAGTCTTACCTGAGCCGCGAGAGCCAACGAAAGCAGATGAACACAATGATTTGCAAGTTGCTACCTTTGTGTCATAACCTCACCTCAAACAAATGTATCAGAAAATGAAGATAAACATCACGGGGTGGGGGGGTTGAAACCCCCGAGAAGAACAAATAAGTTCACTAAGTTGTCAGGATTCATTTCCTGGGTTTCAGCATTACTGAAGTTGTTTATATGCCAGCTATAATTTTTCATAATGTCAGTTAGTGTGGATACAGTGCTAAACTAACCCTGACTAGCTAACTAAGATGCTTGCTTTCCCTTCCCCTCTCTCTTTCTCTCATTTTTAATTCCTTCTCAGCAGGTATCATCCCTCCTTCTTATGATCCTGTTCTTTAATCATCGTTCATCCCCAGAGGAGGATGAAAAAGACAAAAAGTGAATTCTTTGTTTTTCAGTAATAGCAATGCCTAATGAAAGTCATTCTGGGCTTTCCTTTTATAATTTTGAGGGGGCTTTTTCTCCTTTTCTCCTCAAAGCACAGCACAGGTGAGATTTACTGCATGTACTTATCTTCTGAAAATGCAGCACACTGCTGCTTTGGAGCAGAAACCCTGGGACGAGGGGAACATCGCCTTCATAAGAAGACACTGAGAACATTCTCACATTCCCCATTCATTTAATTCGATATTCATTCCAGCAGCCAGTCTTTCTCATATCTCATCCCTAATTTCATGTGATCATTTTGTGGATGAAATTCAGGTCTGGCTCAGCTGAGGCCATCACAGCGCCGCAAAGCCCCTTAAACCGCTCTGCAGGTTACAAACCCTCCCCTTTCAAACAGGGCACCCTGCTGTGCTCGTTTGCCACTTCAGCTAATTTGTGAGCTTTTAAAACTTTCATGACTTAACAGTCATACCCCGGTGAGGCACAAAAGTGAGATCCATTAAACCCTTATTGCTGTTCAGGTAAATGTAGCGGTGGGATCAGGCAGCCAGTTGGCACAGCTCTGGGAGCCATTTCTGCAAAGGATGGGTTGGATTTGCTTTTTGCTGCTCTCCAGCTGATGTGCCCTCATACAGCGCTGAAGGATCAGCTCACGTCCAGATCAGAGCTTGCCCAAAGCTGCCAGCAATGGGACAACGGTGCAGGTGTGTGAGACCCAGAAATACACAGAAAATTGGTTTAATTTTCCCTATGCCATCACATGTAACAGCTGCTTGATTTTGTTTAATGCTTTTCAACCACTGCTGAAATCAAAGCAATACCCAGGAAAGGAAATCTCGTGTATCTCTGCTACCACCCTACAAAACATCCGTTGCTCCTCTGAGACTCTTTTTGGAGAAACGCCCACTGGGTTGGCATGAAGATTAGAAAATACACATAGAGTAGCACCTTGATCCAAATGATCTTAATCCAAACAGTAATTAGCTGCTAGAAGACTGAGCCAGAGCTGAACGAAATCCAAAGCTTGCGTTCAGAGATAAGTGTGCTTTAATCTATCAAACAGCACACAGACAAAAGCTGGGGAAAGGCGGCTTGATTTACAAAATAATATTACAGTCTGTGGATGCAAACTGTACTCACGTCACTCTCAGGATGACGTCTTGAGTCTGCATGCATGGCATGTATTAAACATCAAAACAGCTGAGGTGGGTTAGCAGAAATAATGTCTGAAAGAGCTGTCAAGTTTCTAAATAACTGGTTATACTAATAAACCAAGATAACTTTAGCCTCAATTTAACCTTCTCGGAAAAATCAAGAGATTCTGGAAATGGAGCAGCAGCTCTGAACTCTCTTAGAAGATCAGCGAAGCACGTGGCTGAACTGGTAGTGTCACGGTTGGGCATTCCATGGGAAAAGCACAGCAGTGAGTACGAAACACGAGGGAAAGATGAGAAGCAGAAAATAGGAAAACCAACCCACACATCAGGGTCTCGAGCTCCTTCTTGTATGATGAAGACCCATCAGTAGGGAGAAAGAGTCAGTGAGAGAAGGGATTTCTTGTCCCCCAACACTGATAACAAGGCCTAAATATTCACTACTGTGTGGATTTATTTTATTTATTTATTTATTCATTTATTTTGGAGTACCATAATCTGTAAAAGAAAAGGAACAATGTTCCATCTCCACGTGTCCTGAGCAGTCAGTCCAGGCTCTGTTCACACATCCCCTACCCACATCATCAATCCTTCCTTACATTTCTAGTGTAAAACCCAAACCAAAGCTGGCTGATTTCAGCTGCAGCCTCTGAGATTTTACAAGCTCTTTTTGGACTGAAGAGGAAGACAGAAATGAAAGGGAAATATCCACCCTGGGGACAGGGCAGCAGCTGAACAACCCCATAGCCCACCAGCAGGATCCCTCCACAGCTGATTGCTGAGGTTTGAAACAGCACACAAAAACCAGCACGTCAACCCAAAAATATGGACTGTC